CGCGGACGAAGTCGCGGGTACAGCTAGTCTAAATATATATAACTCAAAGGTGACTGACATAGTGATCTATCAACGCACAGCCCAAACCACTGGACGGATCGGGTTGAAATTTGGCATGCAGGTAGATGTTATGACGTAGGCATCCGCTAAGAAAGGATTTTGATTAATTCTACCCCCAAGGAGATAAAGTAGGGGATGAAAGTTTGTATGAAACTTTGCCAATTTTAAACCGATCAGGCTGAGACTTTGCATGCATAAAGCTACTATGACGTAGACATCCCTTAAGAAAGGATTTTGATAAATTCCACCCCTAAGGGGACAAATTAACGCGAGCGAAGCCGCGGGCAAAAGTTAGTTTGACATATATGTGCTTGGTTCGTAAATTAAGGACGACCCCAACAGTTCAAAGACCTAACGAATGCAGATTATATGACCCGCTAGCAAATGCGGAAATGTCTATCTAGGTCAGGCCGCGCAGGGCAGTTTTTACTTGTTAATATTATTACCCAAATGGCTAGAATACTGTATATCTTATATTTATTACTGGCTGTAAAGTTTCATCAAAATCCGTTCAGTAGTTTGCGCGCGAAAGAGTAACAAACATCCATACAAACTTCGCGTTTATAATATTACTAGCTTTTATCCGCAGCTTCGCTCGCTTAACTTTATTGGCAGGTAGCTGATGTAATGAGGAGTAACTTAGGCTACTTTTATTTTAGTTTTTTTTTTTTATTTTAGAATAGAAGTATAGAAATAATATCCACGCGGACGAAGTCGCGACAATAGCTAGTTATTAAATATTACGTAACTGGAAACATATTAAACAGCCACTCACTAATTCCTATTTATGAGTCATACATAAAATACTATTATTATTGAATATGAAATTTAAATTCAAATTAAAAAATCATTTTTTCATGTAGGCCATTTTAGCCGCTTATGAACGTCAAATTTTTACGTTATAATTGTAATTTTTTCCCTACCGTCCAGTTCGGTATGTAGATCCAATAGAGAAGAAATTACGTAACTAGATACAAACTAAACAGCCACTCTCTCATTACTCTTTATTTTTTATTAAATTGTTAATTTCCCTCTGTTCTAGTTAGATAAAAAAACTATATACCACATTTCGTACCTCACCTGCCCATCCCTTACTAATCGTGACTAATAATAAATTGTTTATCGAACCACTGCTATGACATTGGCCCAGAGTTAAGGGTTGGGGGTGTGAAGGCCAAGTTTTAGTCATCCCCCGTTTACCCTTACTGGGGGTGGAGTATGATTTATTTGGTTTTATTAGGCTTTTCTTTGATCTGTGTGACTAATAAATAGAAATGAGTCAGTGGCTGTTTAGTATGTTTCCAGTTACGTGTTTTTAGTGTTACATTTGTTATTATATTACTATACATATTATTATATAACTAGTAATATTTGATAATAATAACTAAAATATATTATTAAAAGTGGTCCCTTTAGGCAACGTTCCGAAGATACTGGCAGCGTTCCCTCTTTGAATAGCTAGACTAATTCTTTGTCCAAGGTAGCTGCCAGCTCTTCGGTCTTCTGTGATGTCGACTAACCTTTTCGTTATTTCTTTGAAAGGTCTTATAGCGCTAGGACCCCACGGACCAAGGGTCTCGACACCGAATAGTATTTTATGTGTAACGCTCACTTGCATGGGTTGATTGATCTCAGGGTTGCCAACCTTATGATAGGTTTTTTAACATTCTAGATATTTTTTTATATTTTGTAGTATATATAGTCTTTGGCATAATTAATATTGTTCATAACGTACTCTGTGCAGTTGACAGAGCCTGATTGTAAAAATGGCGGGAACGGCCTAATTAAATTAGAAGCGCAGTTTAGCATTTTATTTATTTAAATATTTAAATACAGTACAAATTGGCGACGAGTAATTATTAAACACGTGTGTAATTAATGCAGTCTGCATTAATAAAATTGTATTGTTAATGTATGTGAATCGTTTCAGTGGGGTTTCAGTGGGGATACCGGATATTCGGCCAACCATGTGACCGAATAGCCGGATATCCGGCGGAACTTAGCTAACTAATAAATTCATTTTCTTTCTATAACAGTAGTTATTTACTATTGAGTGATTAAAAATATAAAACTAAAACTAATTTTATTCCTTATGTAATAATTAATACTAAGACTAACTAAATAGAGCAAATAATTACTTTAAAAAAAATTACCAAGGTTTTTTTTTAATTCGTCCGGATGCCTTTCCGGCCCAATAGTAGTTATCCGGTATTCGGCCGGATAGTATTAAGGCCCTCGGATAGTTACCGGATATCCGTTTCATCTCCACTTTATATCCTGGGGGCCCTGGGCTGCAGCCCAAAAAGCAAATAGGTCCGCCCCTGTATAGGTAAGATTGCTATTAATTTTAATAAAGATTATTTCTATTCTATTCTATTCTATTCTATTGAATCACGCAATCGTGACGGTTTAGCATATATTGATCGGTAGATTACCATTTCATGGTTACATTAACTCAATGTTCTATCATTGAATTCGAGTTCCAGCGTACGATATCGATTCAACTTGAGTTGTCAACTCCCTTCTATAAATAGATAATGGAGAATGTAGACGCAAGAGAAACACATTTTTTGTTGTTTATGAGGTCTGAGTTATCAAACAAACATAATTGTTTGTGTTTCTAATTGTGACCTAATTTTAATGCATTCAAATCAATAATATCTATGGTATATATCGATACATGTTAATAAAATTGTAGTGTATGTTTGTAATATTGAAATAAACGTTTTTTACATAAACTACACTAAAAGTACATAGGGTAAAATAACATTTTTCAAAATTTTTGTCTGTCTGTCTGTCTGTCGGTCTGTCTCGGCTAATCTCTGAAATGGCTGGACCGATTTTGACGGGACTTTTTTGACAGGTAGCTTATGTAATAAGGAGTAACTTAGACTACTTTTATTTTAGAAAAAAAAATCCACGTGGATGTAGTCGCGGGAACAGCTAGTATTAAATAAGATTTATACACAAATATAAATATATATAAAATGTATTACAATATTCAATTGTGAGTATATATATTCAAAACTGCTTAAATTAAGTTTATTTGAATAAATGATTTTCTATTCTATTCTATTCTAATGCTCATAAAAACCATATTTTAAAGAGATCACAAGAAGAATGTAGAAATACAAGTCACAAATACAGGTGTTAACTTGATTTCTATTTCTTCTTAATGAGTCTGCGTTAATGATTAGAAAAATATGACTATTAAAAGTGTTTGTATTGAAATGATTTTTTCTATTCTATTTTATAGGAACTGTCGAAGTATGACAGTCAACTGCTCGGGACGTCAGCTCATAAAAATCGACCTCCCTACTGACACCATTTTTTGTTTTATTGATTTTTTTAGAGATTCACAATGAAGTGGCGGCAATGTAGAAACTCACAAGTTGACTTGTATTTCTACATTCTTATTGTGATGATCCCGATCTCGCGAATGTGTAGAATTCGAAAAATGTGACGCATCATATGATAATTGACGGGATTGGGCGGCAGTGAAAAAGAAATTGACGATTATATCGTTTATTTGAGTAAGATATTAATCATCATCGCCCGGAAGACGTCCACTGCTGGACATAGGCCTCCCCCAAAGATCTCCACGACGATCGGTCCTGCGCTGCTCGCATCCAATGCCTTCCCGCGATCTTGACCAGATCGTCGGTCCACCTTGCTGGAGGCCTTCCCATGACAGCCCCAACGGCCATCTGTCCTACGAGCTAACTTCAAAGTCGCAATATTAATACGGCAGTACTAATCGAAGATGACTTGCCTCTTTCAATGATTGCAGAAGATTTGAATTTACGTGCTGCACAAACTAATAAATCGCTTCAAGCACTCTGCGAGCGTCCGGCGTCTACAGCTTAGACAAATTAGAATCTACCATTAAAAAAAAATGGATTTGTTTGAATTTAGCAGATGAAACTATTAATACCATCATTTTCAAAATCCTCCTAATTCCCTGAATTAAGCACCATTTATCTTAATTTCCTTACAACCTGATTATTATTTAGTTGGTTTAAAGTTTTTTATTTTCTTTCGATTAATTTTATTTTAGTTAACCTCAGCACAAACAAGCAGTTATTAGCTTTTTCACATCTGAATTCAACATTTTTTAAATTTAGATGAAAATTCCGTATATTTCTAATCCCGCGATCCCGAATTTGTTCTCGAGTCGGGATTTAAACTTAAACTTAAGGGCAAAATTTACAAGACCACGATTCGGCTTGCTGGCTTGTATTCATCAGAGTGCTGGCCCGTAAAGGCATCGGATGAAAGACGACTGCATGTGTAAGATATATCAACTCTATGTACTAGTAAAAGTATATATTATAATAAAATAACAACTATATAACATTAATTTAACTATGTCTCTAACACAATTCACTTTAGCATTTAAAATACAACCAGCACATCCTGTGCCCAAAGACCGAATGCCGTGGCTTTTTTTTTTGGACTTCTAATGCTGTTGGCCGCAGCTGGCCTTTACAGCTTCACCGGACGTTAGGGGTCGAGTGCAGATGGCACTCCTAACCAGAGGAAGGACTTATGGAGCGGCTGAAGGACAACTCCCGCCTGACAGATACGACTCTAATCTGAGGGCACCACTAGGGGTTCGAACTTCAGCTCAGGCCGTCGTAATTTCGATCCCCGTTTGAATTAGACGGGGGATCGATCGGAGGGGAGTTTTATTGATGACTAGCTTTTACCCGCGGCTTTGCTCCATTAAATAAGTTCATTACTGGCCGCTACAAGATCGCTGGAAGGCATTGGATGCGAGCAGCGCAGGACCGATCGTCGTGGAGATCTTTGGGTAGGCCTATGTCCAGCAGTGGACGTCTTCCGGGCTGCGATGATGGTGATGATGATTACTGGCTGCTGATGGCGCTGAAGTAGCAAAATGTTGATAATTTATGATTTTTTTTAATAAAAAGTATCCTATGTTCGTTGTGATACCTCCAAGAATATGCGTACAAGATATCATGATGATTGGTTTAGTATTTTTGCGTGAAAGCGTAACAAACATACCTACTTTCACAATTATAATATTAGTAAGGATAATGTAATGGTGCACCCGCCTGCGCTAACGGTATACCCTGGCGGGGCACCAGTGGAGGATGATAAGAACATGAGGTCAGGTCAGTTAGCACATCGTGGTAAATTCACCATGAATTTATCACGATGGTTTCCAGGGGGAACCGCATGGAGGTCAACCTGACATAGTACATTGCTAGTAATGGGGTCATAAGTCCACATTACTAACTACTACTACTACTAAATTCTCCAGGAATTTATCACGAACCGAAATTTCATATGAATCGGTGAAGCTGTTTCAGAGTCATGCTCGCTAAAATGTCCAGACATGTGGCGGCGTGGTGGGCCGGGTCATTGGGCTCCCTAAAATATGGTCGAGCGCAGTGATGGCTGGCTCATCCGTCATACTCGTGAACGAGTGCTGCTTGTAGGGACTGGTCTGCTCTTATCACTACGAATGATTTAATCTTATTGTGTTTTTATATTTGAGCATAAATAAATTAGTGCTGGTTGGTAGTTTGTATTCACACGTTTCGACTTGTAAAATGTGAACTTACAAGGATTGTTTAAAAGAGCAACACACAAGTTTCTTGCTTATTCTTTCCGAATAAGCGGTAGATTTAAAAAAATGTTGACTATTCAAAAGTGCTTAAATTAAGTTTATTTGAATAAATGATTTTCTATTCTATTCTATTCTAGAGGAGTTATGTTACAAACACTGTTACACGAGAATTTTATATATATGTATATATATAAATATATAAGTAAGAAAATAAAAAAGTATATAATATTCCAGGCCAACCTGTCCCCGGACAAGGGTTCTCTGCTGTCGGTGCAATCTGCACCCCCTGAACAACGAGAGCGCCCCGCAAGTCTGCTGCTCGAGTTGCCGTTAGCCACTGTATGTAATAGTTATTTGTAAACTATACATTATTTACATTATTACACTAGCTGTTCCCGCGACTTCGTTCGCGTGGAATTTAACTTTATTTTTCGAAAATAAAAGTAGCCTATTATTATTACATCAGCTACGTGCCTAAAAAAAGTGCTCGCCCTTTTCAAAATCGCTCCAGCCCGTCAGGGACATTTCATTCTTAGCCGGAACAAAACTTTCCAGACAGGCGTTTATGACAAAAATTGTAAAAAATGTTATTTATTACATCAGTACGTGTTAAAAAAGTCCGTCAAAATCGGTCCAGCCATTTATATTCATTTCAATGTTACAAACGTAGTAAAAAACGGTTATTTCAATGTTACAAACAGACACTCCAATTTTATTTATATGTATATATTATTAACCGGGTCTTACGCGAATAATTTTATGGTAAATGAAGGTAAAATATTTACCTCTCGATGTTTCGACTAGTTACACTAGCCGTGGTCACGAGCTGACTGGAGTAACAGCGATGTCAATGTAGATAGGTGACAGCAGTTTTTTCATCTACCGTCACTAGATTGTTCAACGAAACGAAATGAAAACCTAGTCGAAACGTCGACTGAGGTAAATACCTTTATTTGCCATAAAATTATTTGTGTTAAGATCCGGTTAATAATATAAATAATGTACTGTAATTTTTTTATTTTTATGGATGAATGGTTCACTCGCCTGCTCTAACGGTTTACGCTGGCTGGGCACCAGTGGAGGATGATAAGATGAGAATGAGGTCAGGTCAGTTAGTACATCCGTCGTAAATTCACCATGAATTTATCACGATGGTTTCCAAAGGAACCGCGTGGAGGTCGACCTGACATGGTACATTGACATGAGTATATGATTTGACTTTGAAGTACCTATATTCAAACTAAATAAGGATGTTCTTCAAGTAAAATATCAGGTAAACATTGTTTTGCTAAAGTAATAATAATATCTCAAGACACAGCGCTTAAATACAAATGTTTGTTCGTGCAAGGAATCGAACACGCGATCATCGAAAATACCTAACCGCTAGACCACTGGTTCATTCAGAAGTTTCTCAAAAACGCCACTCTTTTACCAACCTTGTGATAAGACTGCCATATCTCAACATTGTGTTCTGTTTTCGCAGCAAGTAGGCGCGTACTTATCAGCGATGTCACCGACCGAGCAAGAGGAGGACTCCTTGCTGACACTGTCGTCGGTGACAGCACGCCCCCTGCTGGCTGCCTCGAGGAAGCTACGGCCTCTGCCTGACTCCACCACTGAGTAAGGGCACATCATGTTTATTTTTATATAACTGGAGTCCAAATATGTGGCTATCTATAAATTATGTCACTCGTTAGAGGGGGAGGAGGTTGACATAGTGTGACGTTGTGTGACAAGGGGTGGGAAGAGATTGACGAAGTGTGAATTTCTGTGACTAGAGGTAGAAGATGGTTGACAAAATGTGACATTATGTGACTAGGGGTTGGGAGGAGGTTGTCGATGTGACTTTGTGTGACAAAGGTTGGGAGGAGATTGTCAGTGTGTTATTGTATGACCAGGGATTGGGAGAAGTTTGTCGAAGTGTGTCATTGAGTGACAAGGAGTGGAAAGAGGTTAACGAATTGTGACTGTGCGACAAAGGGCTGGGAGGAGGTTGACAAAATGTGACATTGTGTGACAAGGGGTGGAAGGAGGGTGACAAAGTGTGACATTGTATGGCAAGGGGTGGAAGGAAATTGACGAAGTGTCATTATGGGACAAGATATGGGAGGAGTTCTGAATTTCGTAACATGAGATTTCAAAATATTTTATTTTCAACTTTTTTTTTACAAAATCCTTCAAACAAATTAAATAAATAATGTATAATCATAATGTTATTCGTGTTAAGACCCGGTTAATAATGTAAATTAATTATATTCGAATGACGACCACTGGGCGAGCTGTATTATAATGTGTGTGTTATAATACCATAATGTTTGTAATTCCAGTATAACCAACCCACCCGATGGTGGATACGGCTGGGTTGTGGTGTTCGGTGCTTTCATGGTGCAGTTCTGGGTGGCCGGTCTGTTCAAGTCGTATGGGGTACTATACGTGGAGATCATGGAAACATTCCCAGACTCTTCGGAGTCAGTTGCCTCCTGGATACCAGCGGCGTTGTCTACATTGTGCTTAGCTCTGGGTGAGTATTCCCTATTTTTACATATAAAAAGAATTAATGAAATCCTTTCTTTCACTTTGCGCATTCACGTTAAAAATTATTAAACGACGATTCCTTGCGGCTTCAAACATTAATTTATTCTTAGGGGATTGAATTTATCAAAATCCTTTCTTTGCTACGTATAATATGTATTTTATAAAAAGAAGTCTCATGTATCTATCGGTTTAAATCAAAGTTTCATACAAACTTTCATCCCAAGCTATTTTATCCCCTTGGGGGTAGAATTAATGAAAATCAATTTCTTAGCGGATGCCTATTCATTATTATTACCTGCATGTCAAATTTCACCCCGATCCGTCCAGTGGTTTGGGCTATGCGTTGATAGATCACTATGTCAGTCAGTCAGTCACCTTCGAGTTATATATATTGGCGCACAGATAGTTTACACCCTGAAAAAGGACATAGGCTACTATTTAATGCAAAAATGGTAAAGGGATGAAAGGTAATATATAAGGGTGTATGGAAGTATCGTCATTTTTAAATCTAGAACCTAGAAACTTATTTTTTAGGCTGTTGATTAAATATAAATAGATATGACCTTCAAAGTTTGTACCAGTTTTATATTTAAATGTCGTCGTTTTTGAAGCTAGAACGATGAAACTTTTTTCTTTGTAATTTTGGGTTAGATTATTACACATTTTGTGCTATCCAAAGTGACTATTTCACGGGGACGAAATTGCGGGCACAGCTAGTAATTTTTTTTTTTTGCACACAAAAATGTATATATGTCGGACTTAATGCCTGATGGCATTCTCTACCAGTAAGTAACATATTGTCATCCATTTTGCATATAAAATAATCTTTCAATGAGTAAAAACACTTGTTTATCAGATTTATTTATTTTAATAATAATAATAATATACACTCTGCACTTACTTGGTTTCGGCCCGTAAGTGTGGAGAAAACCAGCAAAAGCTAAGAAAAAAAAAAATAATAATAACAAGGTACAAATAATAGTGACAAGGGATGGATTTTTAGGTTGATAAAGTGTGACTTCGTGTGACAAGGGGTGAAAGGTACAGTTTTGGGTTTTACTAAATAGCTTATGATTTGAGATCTCTCTTTTTCCCAGCACCGTTGTCATCAGCTCTGTGTGAGAAGTACTCTTGTCGTCTGGTGGTGTTCATTGGTGGCCTCTTCTGTGCGACGGGCCTGGCTCTCTCCTACTTCAGTACTGGACTGCTCCATCTTCTACTGAGCTTCGGGGTGATGACTGGTAAGTGTATAATCTAGACACGCGGTAGCGTGCCAAGCCAACTTCAGTAACAGAACTGGTGAGCATCGTGTATATTACATACACTATATTACTCAGCTTAGTTTGGGACTAGATGGCGCTGTGTGAATTGTCCTGAGATTATTATAACCTCATCTCATTTATTTATTTATATTTATGTAACTTCAATGCACAAAATACCAAGGTAAAAGTACATATGGCGGACTTAACGTCTTAAGGCATTTTCTACCAGTCAACCATAGGCTGTGCAGAGAAAAACTACTACATTTTTTGGTAGAAAATGGTTAATATTATTCATTTCTACCAAAAAATTGTAATAAATGATTAATATTAATCATTTTCTACCAAAAAATTGTAGTAAATGATAGATAATTGATTATTTGTGAAATGGCGCTGTGTGAATTGTCCTGAGATTATTATAACCTCATCACATTTACTACAATTTTTTGGTAGAAAATGATTAATAAATTGTGAATAATAATTAATAATAATAATTTTGTTATAGGAATCGGAGGAGGTCTGTCTACAACACCAGGGATAGTCATCGTCTCGCAATATTTTGATAAACACAGGTATGTTCATTTAAAACAGGGCTGATCAACACGCGGCCCGCGGGCTTGCGGCCCGTCAAACATGTTTATGCGGCCCGCCAAGCATTTCTTTAATTGAATTAATTTTTTCGACTTTCTCGCATCAATATATTTGTTTTAAAATTAAGTATAATACAATGGTAGTACATTCTAAACCGATACATTTTTTTCTGATGAATTACTCACTTGTCGGTGTCTTGTTCACTTTGTCAGCGAGAGGTTTTATATTGCGTTAATAAAAATAAGATATAATATTGATTTTATATTTTATCTGTTTGTTTGTAACAGATTTAAGTTTTCCGTCCCTATGTATGCTTAAATCTTTAAAACTACGCAACGTATTTTGAAGCGGTTTTTTTATAGATAGTGATTCTAGAGGAAGGTTTATATATATAACTAGCTGTCCCGGCAAACGTAGTTTTGCATTAAAATAAAAAAAAAATTAACGGTGGACTACCCCTAACATTTAGGAGGATGAAAAATAAATGTTGGCCGATTCTCAGACCTACTCAATACGCTCACAAAATTTCATGAGAATCGGTCAAGCCGTTTCGGAGGAGTATGGGAACGAAAACTGTGACACGAGAATTTTATATATAAGATGTACATCCGTACTTTATATGCTGCACTTTTTATACTCACACTAGCTACTCGCCCCGGCTTCGCACGGGTGTATATGTGTTATACATATAAACCTTCCTCTTAAATCATTCTATCTATTAAAAAAACCGCTTCAAAATCCGTTGCGTAGTTTTAAAGATTTAAGCATACATAGGGACAGACAGCGACAGCGACAGCGACTTTGTTTTATACTATGTACCTAATGATGATGACAATGATATATACATAGGTTTTATTTCTCTCTCTTTTCAGGGCTTTGGCTAATGGTATATGTGTGAGCGGGACGGCAGCAGGCAGCTTCGTATTTCCGATGTTAATTGAGAAACTGGTGGATATGTATGGGTTGCATGGAACTGTGTTACTATTAGGTAATATATATTGATCTATATTGATTATTATTTGATGACTTCGGTGGTCTATTGGTTTAGCACATCGCTTTAGGTACGATGGTCGCGGGTTCGATTTCGCACGGCACAAATATTTGTATTCATAAGTATGATTGTTTGTATCGGTCTGGGTGTTTTCTATGTATAATATGTATGTATTTACGAAAAAAAATATCTATGTACATGTATCAGTTACCTAATACCCATAACACAAGCGTTAGCTAGCTTAACTTGGGTCTAGATGGCGCTGTGTGAATTGTCTTGAGATTATTATTATTTTTTTTTTCTCTCGACTTTCGCCGGTAACCTTGGTATATACGGGCCTAAGCCAAGTACATAACAATGTTCTATTTTTAGGTGAATATACTGTAATATAAATGTTGGCCTGATCTGTTTGTAGAAATTTTACAATGCGGCATGTGTTTAGTACAGCCATCTGTAGTTGGCGGTATATATTAGGGACCAAGTGCAGGGTATTTATCGACTAATGTTATTATTATTATTATTACATATATATATATATATATAAACACCTCTTTGGGCACTTTGTTGATCACGCCACAACCTAAACACTTGCCGATTCCACCTTTTGCACTGAATAACTTGACTCCTATCGCGTATATCTCAGGCGGTATGGCAACGTCGCATTCTATTTTGCGATGTGGCCATATATATTCGTCGATAGTACGATATACTCGACACTTTTTTTACTAATAATTCGTGACTGAATGGCTCCGAACGGCTAAATTTTTGGTATACACAAAGACTTTTTGGCTCTGAATATATTCCAAAAATCAATTAATTATGTTGATCACTTTATATACTCGTCCTTACTGCGATACTTACTTTCATCCGAATATATATAGATACCGTAACGGTCTATCAATTATGATTTTATTAATTTACTAATGTAGATATTTTATATTCGCAATGCTCCATACATGCAAGCTCCAGCAACGGTGGAGGCAGGGTCCCCCCTGCACCGTACACCGCACCCCGCGCACACAAACAAATTAGATATTTTTTGAATACACAAAGACTTTTTGGCTCTGTATATATATTTCAAAAATCAGTTAATTGTGTTGATCACTTTATATACTGGTCCTTACTGCGATACTTATTTTAATCCGAATATATATAGATACCGTAACGGTCTATCAATTATGAATTTACTAATCTACATATTTTATATTCGCAATGCTCCATACATGCAAGCTCCAGCAACGGTGGAGGCAGGGGGGAGCACCGTACACCGCACCCCGCGCACATAAATTAGAATAAATTAAATTCATAAGATTATTTATATATTTCGACTGCCTCGGTGGTCACACCGCTTTACATCCGATGGTCGCGGGTTCGATTTCTCGCACGATGCAAACATTTGTACTCATCGGTCATCGATTGTTTTCATCGGTCTGGGTGTTTTATATGTATATTATATATGTATTTACAAAATAAAAATATCTATTTATATCAGTTCAGTATCAGTCTGTGTTAATTGTCCAGGGTTATTTATTATATTTTTATAAACGGTTATCTTTTTCCATCGCACCGCTCGCTATCGACAGTGAATTCATAGAAATGTCACTCTAAAAACAAAAATAGTTTTGTGTTTTGTATTTCAAATACTAAATGCAAAATAGGTATTTTCAAAATACTTTTTAAAAATTAAGTACCTTTTGAATTTTTGTCCAAACCTCAGATATTTTATTTATTTTAGGTATATCAATCATTACATAGTAATATAAAAACAAAGTCGCTGTCGCATCTAACAGTACATAAACAAAGAAAGAAGACTTTGGCTCTGATACCGTAACGGCCTATGAATTATGAATTTATTATACCTAATCTAGATATTTTATATTCGCAATGCTACGTACATTGTAATATCCGCCTCCATTCATTGTAACGGTGGAGGGACTAAATAGTTGAATAAAACTGAATAAGCAGTTGCTCCACTCTATAGGTACTGCGTCGTCGTCGTATGCTGTTCATTTTTTCACTCGTTTTGGCGCCAAGAGAGGGTCACATAGTCGTGGTCAAGTTAAGAACTTATAATTTAATTTTGATAACAATAGATACAAGTAAAAAGTAGGTATTATATTAATGTACGTAAGTACTGTACTTAAAAATATTTATTCTTTACTGTATGTACATTTGAAAAACTTAACACTTAAGGACTTGTACATATACACGTACATACTGCCATTTTCTCTTAAAGACATCCAGAGAAGCACTATTTATCAAATACGCGGGGTGCACCGACCTTTGACCTTATAACACCTGATTCGCGCGTAACGAATTACATTGCTACTTTTTGGTATTTTATAGTGGATATGTCACTATAAAATATTATTATTTCTTTAGATTATGACATAATAACATAGTTTACATGATTTTAAGGGAAACATACGATAAAAAAAAATCCCGTAAAATGTAAAAGATAAAAAATGGTTATTGTTGGTTATCCTTAAGAGATAGACATATACCATCACGGACTTTTTTGTTGACCTTATTTTGATACATCTCAAAGCACTAGACAACACGCATTTTCATTAAACAGTATTGTATTTTTTTATTTCTTTAACTTTAATGCACAAAAAAATTTGTACATGTGGCGGACTTAATATTTTGCCGCGTTATTTACCAGGCAACCATGAGTGGTGCAGCGAAAGATTATTGGCGGTGCACTAATATAAATAAGAAATGTCAAAAAAAGATTTATAAAGATAATAAAGATAAGCAAAATATACATTTCTATAAAAAAATAACAATATACATACATAAATATATATCTAAGTATAACCCATAAATGTATAAATATTATATATAAGTAAATACATAATGATCCGATAATCAAATTATAAGTACAGTCTCAAATTGAAAGTAAGAAAATCAGAAAATATAGAGAGAACTATATGGATATAACAGAAAGATGTGAAAAAAGGAGAAGGACAGTAAAAAAGTTACAAATTTAAATAATGTTCCCGCAATTTCTGTTTAAATGAATTTATTACATTATTATATATATTAGGCATACGACTAGCCTTATGACTGTTACTTTTTTTTAATCTATACATCTATACATGTAAATAAAATTGGAGTGTCTGTTTGTAATATTGAAATAACCGTTTTTTACTACTTGCATATGAATATAAATACGGTACATATTCCAAAATAACATATTTTACAAGTTTTGTCTGTCTGTCTGTCTGTTTGTTCCGGCTAATCTCTGAAATAGCTGGACCGATTTTGACGGGACTTTTTTTGGCAAGTAGCTGATGTAATAAGGAGTAACTTACGCTACTGTTATTTTAGAAAAATAAAATAAAATTTCACGCGGACGAAGTCGCTGGGGCCAGCTAGTCTATAGATATACCGAGATTTAATGTTTAAGTTGCTATTATGTTGTTGACAAAATTTTACTGTAATGTTACTATTACGTTATCCTACACAATTTGTATTATTTTGGATGAATAAATAAATAAATAAATAATAATCTATACATCTATACATTTAATAAAAATTGGAGTGTCTGTTTGTAATATAGAAAAAACCGTTTTTTACTACATGCATATGAATATATATAAGGTACATATACCAAAATAACAATTTTTATAATTTTTGTCTGTCTGTCTGTCGGTCTGTTTGTTCCGGCTAATCTCTGAAATGGCTGGACCGATTTTGACGGTACTTTTTTTGGCAGGTAGCTGATTTATAAGGAGTAACTTAGGCTACTTTTATTTTAGAAAAATAAAGTTAATTCCACGCGGTCGAAGTCGCGGGGACAGCTTGTTTTTAATAAAAACTGTTTATTTGATAAAAAAACATCTTTTTTGTGGTACTTGAGAATGTTGAAGCCTGTTGTTTGTAATATTGAAATAACCGTTTTTTACTACTTGCATATGAATATAAATACGGTACATACACCAAAATAACATATTTTACAATTTTTGTCTGTCTGTCTGTTTGTTCCGGCTAATCTCTGAAATGGCTGGACCGATTTTGACGGGACTTTTTTTGGCAGGTAGCTGATGTAATAAGGAGTAACTTAGGCTACTTTTATTTTAGAAAAATAAAGTTAAAAACCACGTGGACGAAGTCGCGGGAACAGCTAGTGTATAATATATTAGAGATACCTACGTGTTTTTTTATTGATGACTAGCTGTACACGGGATTTCGTCCGTGTGGAATTTCACTTTATTTTTCTAAAATATAAGAAGTTAAATTCCACGCGGACGAAGTCGTGTATACAGCTAGTTGTCGGTAGTCTAGAGATTTAGCTAGCACACCGCTTTGATTCCTGCTTGGTGGTCGAGGGTTCGATTCCTCGCACGCTGCAAACATTTGTATTCATGAGTATGATTGTTTGTAACGGTCTGGGTGTTTTCTATGTATAGATAATATATATGTATTTACGAAAAAAATCTTTGTATTTATATTAGTTGTCTAGTACCCATAACATAATCTTCAGCTAGCTTAACTTGGGTCTAGATGAAGCTGTGTGAATTGTCCTGAGATTACTATTATTACTATAATAAATCTTTTCAAATCAGCCGATGTTTATTTTTGCCATAATACGTGCTGTTACCATGTGATAATATTACGTACGTACTTATTAAACTATTAACTTATTATTAAATTGTTTGTAACGGTCTGGGTGTTTTCTATGTATAGATAATATATATGTATTTACGAAAAAATCTTTGTATTTATATCAGTACCCATAACATAATCTTCAGCTAGCTTAACTTGGGTCTAGATGAAGCTGTATGAATTGTCCTGAGATTACTATTATTATTAATTGGTACACAGGTAAACTACTAACTAGGCCATATTGGTGTTGTTTGTTACGGTGAAAAAACTAGTAGGTATATATATAAGTTACACGTACAATTTCAAAGACTTATTTCTTGAAAACTACTGGCTATTCTGAAATAAAACTTTAGTGTTTGTATATGTAATGTTTGCATATAAAATATGATTAAAGGTTACCAGTGTATTTACACTTTTACTGAACAAACAGAGTTGTTTAATACTGAAAATATTGTGTGGAAGGCATCAATTACTTTCAGTGCATGTATAGCTTTTCTCTTTTCCTAATTATTATTATTATTAAGTTTAAAGTGGTTGAATTTTACGTAAGGGGTTTTTATACATTATTTCTAATGTACCATTTATTTTAAGTTTTTTAAACTCTATTCATCGAGACCTATCTAATGAGTCCAAACACGATATTTCTGCTGTAAGTTTTCGAAGAGTATGTTCATCATCTGATAATACTGGTGCCAGCATGAAGTCAAGGTTAACAGATAACTAATTACTTTTATTTCGTCAAAATCTTTAGATTACGTATAATAAATTCATAATATCGCTACCTATTCAAATCAAAACAAGTATTAGGTACTTCATGTACTAGTATATAAATTCATCAACACACAAGTAAATGATTTTTAAATATATTCAGAGCCAAAAAATCTTTGTGCATTTAAAAAAAATGCCGATACGGATTCACTATTGCAGGAAATTGTTGAAAAAATATATATCGAGTATAAGTATCTACTACTATCGACGAATACATTTGGCAACAACGCATGGTCTCGGCCGGAACGGCAACATCGCATATTAGAATACAAAGATAGTGATAGAAAGAGAGAGACAGTGGATCAGCAATATCTACGGATCGTGGCTGGATCAACTAAGTGTGCAAGTGTATATAAATATATATATATACATTTGTCTTTAATTCAAAGGAAATATAAATAATGAACGCATCACATTTAAAACAGTATAAATAGTTAATAATTTAATAATAAGTTAATAGTTTAATAAGTACGTACGTAATATTATCACATGGTAACAGCACGTATTATGGCAAAAATAAACATCGGCTGATTTGAAAAGATTTATTATAGTAATAATAGTAATCTCAGAACAATTCACACAGCTTCATCTAGACCAAAGTTAAGCTAGCTGAAGATTATGTTATGGGTACTGATATAAATACAAAGATTTTTTTTCATAAATACATATATATTATCTATACATAGAAAACACCCAGACCGTTACAAACAATCATACTCATGAATACAAATGTTTGCAGCGTGCGAGGAATCGAACCCTCGACCACCAAGCAGAAATCAAAGCAGTGTGCTAGCTAAATCGCTAGACTACCGACAACTAGCTGTACACGCGACTTCGTCCGCGTGGAATTTAACTTCTTATATTTTAGAAAAATAAAGTTAAATTCAACACGGACGAAATCCCGTGTACAGCTAGTCATCAATAAAAAAACACGTAGGTATCTCTAATATATTATACACTAGCTGTTCCCGCGACTTCGTCTACGTGGTTTTTAACTTTATTTTTCTAAAATAAAAGTAGCCTAAGTTACTCCTTATTACATCAGCTACCTGCCAAAAAAGTCCCGTCAAAATCGGTCCAGCCATTTCAGAGATTAGCCGGAACAAACAGACAGACAGACAAAAATTGTAAAATATGTTATTTTGGTGTATGTACCGTATTTATATTCATATGCAAGTAGTAAAAAATGGTTATTTCAATATTACAAACAACAGGCTTCAACATTCTCAAGTACCACAAAAAAGATGTTTTTATTAAAAACAAGGTGTTCCCGCGACTTCGTCCGCGTGGAATTTAACTTTATTTTTCTAAAATAAAAGTAACCTAAGTTACTCCTTATAAATCTGTACTATGACTGTACTATGCTATACTATGTATTGATTGATATACCTAAAATAAGTATAATATCTGAGGTTTGAACAAAAACTCAAAGGGTAATTTATTTTGAAAAAGTATTTTGAAAATACCTATTTTGCTTTTAGTGTTATAGTACTTTAACTGTTATGTTTTAAGTAACAATGTTTAATTATAATTAATACTACTGCACCAACACTCCGATCGTGCAAAAAATTTAGCTGTTTCATTATTTTTTAGTTCAATTAGTGGTCTACCTAAGTCTTGGGCTATTCATGACCCCCCATGACTCCCAAGACCTCCATGACGCTTCCCCCTGGATCCGCCGTTACGTCTTCTCTTCATTCGCTCAGTAACGTTGTTACAAAAGGAAAAATTCCCGTCCAAAAAATAACAAGTATTGAGGTTTGATCTGGAGTCACGTTACTCCAGACTGATTTCTATAAATATTTAGATTAGGTAGACTATTATTTTTGAAATACTAGCTAGACATTATTAAGTTACTGTAGCCATAATGTAGTAGCCCAAACGTGCCAATGAGGAAGCCCTTGGCAAATGCTGCACCCTGATTGGCCCGTTTGAATTGGATCAAGAACTGCTCGTATGCCAAAAAGGTGGATTTGTATAAAATCGTGTATAAATCGCTTAATTATTATTATTACTCGTCGTGACAGTTGTGGCTCAAAACGGATCAACATTTATATATGGTCATCTGGCATTAGATCAACAAAAGGCCTCCGGATCAACAAGTGAAAAAGGATCAACAAAAAACTACCTATACGGCACGTCTGAGCCACAAAGTGCCCAAGGGGATATTTATATATATATATATATATCTCCCTAGGGGCGATATTTAAATTTAAATTTTTTTCTACGACATTTTTAATTGTTACTAAAAATATTAAATTTAAATGTCAAATATTCATAAAAAAAAGAACTGACGTCGTAGTAATGGAAAAGCTACAACATAAGTATATGTAACATAAATATATATACATATATTTATGTATATATTTGTATAAATATATCTAAATTTTGCCCGCGGCTTCGCTCGCGTTAATTTATCCCCTTAGTGGTGGAATTTATTAAAATCCTTTCTTAAGGGATGCCTACGTCATAGTAGCTTTATGCATGCAAAATCTCAGCCCGATCCGTCCAGTGGTTTGGGCTGTGCGTTGATAGATCACTATGTCAGTCACCTTTGAGTTATATATATTTAGATATAATATAAAAGGCGCTAAAAGATTGGGAAACACTGCGATAGACTATCATTTATAAATGTAATTAAAGACTAATATAATCTCATCTAGGTGGTGGAATGCTGCACGTGTGTGTATCTGCGACATTGTACCGTCCCCCGCCGACCGTGAGGGAACGAGGTTCGACTCCTGCCACCACCACTACTACGGAGAACACCACTTTACTGCAGGATATCCAGGAAGGTAATAGACAATTACTAGTACCTTTATCAGTTTAAATCTGTACTGTACTGAAAAACCGGAAGTGGTGCGGCCACTTCCGGTTTCTCAGTACAGTACAGTCTTGTATATATCTATAGCGTACTATATATAATATATATACTCTCGAAAAACCGAAAGTGATAAAAATATATGTTTAACTAGCTGTACACGCGACTTCGTCCGCGTGAAATTTAACTTTATTTTTCTAAAATAAAAGTAGCCCAAGTTACTCCTTATTACATCACAGTACAGTCCAGCCATTTCAGAGATTAGCCGGAACAAACAGACAGACAGACAAAATTTGTAAAAAATGTTATTTTGGTGTATGTACCGTATTTATATTCATATGCATGTAGTAAAAAATGGTTATTTCAATATTACAAACAGACACATCAATTTTATTTATATGTATATATTATTAACCGGGTATTACGCGAATAATTTTATGGTAAATAAAGGTATTTACCTCTCGACGTAAGACGACGTTTGGGAGAGGCTGTGTCCATTGGACGTCTTCCGGGCTGAGATAATGATGATGATCCATATTCACAAACTTATAACTGTACTACTATACTGTTTATAACATTAGTAACAATTAAGATATTGTTTTAAAATTTGTTATTTAACATTAGATTACATGTCTGACTATATAGTGTAAGATGCACTAATTAATTAACGAAACCCCAAGTAGCGTCCGTGACTTGTGACACGGGTGTAGGTTTAAAAGGCCCTTTTAAAATGCATTAACACTCACCTTCACTACTTGCAGCTTCCCCCCAGGCCCAACTAAGACCGGGATAAACCCATTTCTAATACAATTCACTTTAGTATCCAAAACACAACCAGCACGCCCTGCGCTCGTCGACTGAATGCCGCGGCTCACCCAACGAAAGAGGATTATTCAACTACCGACCTCCGTATTTATAGACCAAAGTCGGTGTAGTAGGTCGGTCTATAAATACTAGATGGCGCTATTTACAATATTTGTAATAATCTTTATATTGGGTACTTCATTAGTACTAAATACAAACTACCTTCTTTTAATATGTTTTTTAAAATAGCGGATTATTTCTACAATAATGATGTGAACTCTAACTATAAACCTTTCTTTAAAATATACTTTCGTATTTATAATATTAGTAAGTTTATTTTATTTGAATTTCATAACGCCATCTATTTTTTTTCAGGTAAAACCGAGGCGACAAAAGACAACCGTCTGCAGAGCTTATTCCAACCTGACTCCGAAATGGCATTGAACCAGAAGAATGTTCTACTCACGGAGGAAGCCAAAAGATCCAATTTAATCACTGAGATCATGCACCCTAGTCTTATAGAGGTTAGTTTTTATATATGGATAATAAGATAAAATGTTTTTTTTCTCCTATAAAAAATACCTGGTGTAGATACAAATATATAAAATTCAAATATTCAAATTCAAATTAAAAAACAATTTATTCATGTAGGAATTTTTTGCTGCTTATGAACAATAATATTTTTTTCCTTACCGTCCAGTTCAGTATATAGAAATAAAATGAAATATCATCCTAATCATCTGCATAATTGGTCGTCTTCCACAGTGCCTTTTTCTAGAAACTTTTTGCCTCGCACAACCACATTGTGGAATCACCTTCCAGCAATGGTATTTCCTAACCGATACGATATTGAATCCTTCAAGAGAACAGGTTATATCTTCATAAAAGCTCGGCCTTTAATAATCAGGCCCTTCTTCCTCACTGGGTACACTGTGCAAGTGCCCAGGCCCAGTGTATTTATATTTGACCCAAAAAATTAGTGCTGGCTGGTAGTTTGTATTCACACGTTTCGACTTGTAAATGTGAACTTACAAGGATTGTTTAAAAGAGCAACACACAAGTTTCTTGCTCGTTCTTCTTGTGATGAGACAGCTTTCCAATTGAGCAGAAGATAAAAAAAATGTTATGACTATTCAAAAGTGTTTAAATTAAGTTTATTTGAATAAATGATTTCTATTCTATTCTAAAGTGTTGCCATATTACATTTAATTACTATGTTATTACAATATTTTATATAATTTTTATAATTCTATTTGAGTAACAAATTCTAACATAATATTTCAGGTGGCGCGGCCTCCATTGCAATCTCAACACTCAGATTCTGAAGATTCGGAGGTGCTAGATGTGTTAGGAGTTGTTGGTAAGTTTATTTAACTAATTAATAATAAAAGCTGAAAATAAAATATACCAATATAATAATAATAACTCCACATCACCCTTCAAAACGCTGCCATTTTAAATATCTGTCGAACTGTACGAAAATTACTTTGACGTGGTCTAGTGTTTTGAGTAGTCATGTCTAAAATGTCCAGACTTGTGGCGGCGTGGTGGGCCGGGTCATTGGGCTCCCTAAAATATGGTCGAGCGCAGTGATGGCTGGCTCATCCGTCATACTCGTGAACGTGTGCTGCTTGTAGAATCCCGGTCAGCTCTAATCCCTAGGACTGAATTCCTCTTATTAATTGTTTAACCAGTTGGTTATATATTCAATATTTTTTTCTATTTGAGTATTTAATTGAATTAGTGCTAATTGGTGGTTTGTATTCACACACTTAAACTTAAAAATGTAAAGTAATAATAAAATTATTTAAAAGAGCAACACGCAAGTTTCTTGCTCGTTCTTCTTGTGATGAGGCAGCTTTCCGAATGAGCGGTAGATTAAAAAAATGTAATGACTATTCAAAAGTGCTTCAATGTAAGTTTATTTGAATAAATGATTTTCTATTCTATTCTATTCTGGAAATCGATGAAAAGGATATAACACCAGTCACACAATAAGTACACACTTTCTCATACACACACACACTACACTTGATTCGTTTTGGCCCGTAAGTGTGGAAAAAGGACCAACAAAAGCTGAGAGAGTGAGACAATAGTGAGAATAATAGCAATGGCGTAAATAATAATAATAAAAAGTATATTCACTTCAAAATATAACATTACTATGTAATTGGACTACTTGGCTTGTGCCCGTACACACCAAAATTACCGGCGGAAGCCGAGAAGAAAAATAATAAACACACGACCTCACACGCTTACACACACGCACTTATACACCACTGCACTTACTTGGTTTTGGCCTATAAGTGTGGTATACGCAAAGCGTAAAAACCAAGCAAAAAAAAGCTGAGGAACAAAACATACCAATAATCAATAATAATCTCAGGACAATTCACACAGCGCCATCTAGACCCAAGTTAAGCTAGCTAAAGCTTGTATTATGGGTACTAGATAACTGATAATAATAATAATCTCAGGACAATTCACACAGCGCCATCTAGACCCAAGTTACGCTAGCTAAAGCTTGTGTTATGGGTACTAGATAACTGATAATAATAATAATCTCAGGACTATTCACACAGCGCCATCTAGTCCCAAGTTAAGCTAGCTAAAGCTTGTGTTATGGGTACTAGATAACTGATAATAATAATAATCTCAGGACAATTCACACAGCGCCATCTAGACCCAAGTTAAGCTAGCTAAAGCTTGTGTTATGGGTACTAGATAACTGATAATAATAATAATCTCAGGACAATTCACACAGCGCCATCTAGACCCAAGTTAAGCTAGCTAAAGCTTGTGTTATGGGTACTAGATAACTGATATAAATACATAAATATTTTTTTTCGTATATACATACATATTATACATAGAAAACACCCAGATCGGTACAAACAATCATACTTATGAATGAAATGTTTGTGCGATGCGAGGAATCGAACCCGCGACAATCGCACCTAAAGCGATGTGCTAAACCAATAGACCACCGAAGTCGTCAATTAATAATCAATATAGAAATCTTACATATGTATATTATTGAAAACATCCCGACCGATGACCTGACCTGATCTGATGGTGCCCCGCCAGCGTATACCGTTAGCGCAGGCGGGTGCACCATTACATTATCATCTATAAAAATTACAACATAGTTGCCAGTTAATAACAAGTTTTATTAATAATTGTAAATGCTGGACAATTTAAAAGAACCTTAAATTGTGTAAGTGCTTTTACAACTTAGATGAATATTACCTTGGTGGAGGGTAGTGACAAATTGTTTGATCTGAGTTGTGTTGTAGATAGTTATGTTATATATATATATATTTTTTTATTTTTGTAATTTGGTTATTTGATGTAATTGTATATTTTAATTTCATATTGTACGTCCGAAATGGATAAACTGGTCGTTTCCATATATGATGTAACACAGTTATAGACAATAAATGCTTATCTTATCTTATCTTATCTTATCTTATCTTATCTAATTCGAATGGTATAACAGGATTACCAAAAGAAGTGGCCCGCCTCCGTCTGCGGCCGACACGGTCGTCGTCCATCCTCCATTCAGTTGAAGACCTGTCTACGGACAGCACTTGTGTTTACAAAGCAAGCAGGAGGAAGATCAGTCGGTGAGTGTTTTGAATCTGTGCCTAAAATAGTAATATTTCTGTCGACACTTGTAGTCCAATAAAATTTAAATTTAAACCATGATATGATCAGTTTTGGCGCAATTTATTTATTTATATACACACTATCATCACAGGTATATGCCCAATACAACAGTGCATCCAATATTACAACAGCGGTTTGGTAACATAGCATATAAAATACAATACCATCATAACACCATCCTGATCATCTGGATGAATGGCGGTTTTCCAGAAACTTTTTGCCTCGCACAACCACATTGTGGAATTACCTTCCAGCAATGGTATTTCCGAACCGACACGATATTGAAACTTTCAAGAAAAGAGCTTATTCCTTTTTAAAAGGCCGACAATGTATTTGCAATTCCCCTGGTGTTGCGGGTGCTCATGGGCGGCGGTAATCACTTACCATCAGGTGAGCCGCATGCTCGTTTGTCCCCTGTGTTATAAAAAAAAAATACAATACGGTCCTTGTGAATTCACACAGACTATGTACAAATAAATCAGTTCCCACTGCCACTTGATTGCGAGTGGTCAGTGGGCGCGTCAGTTGTGCTTTCATATCGCGCAATAATAATCAACTGGGCGCCCGGGCGCTCCACGCCCCAGAGCGCCCCTCCGATCGATTCCCCATCAAATTCAAACGGGGATCGAAATTACGACGGCCTGAGCCGAGGTTCGAACCCCTAGTGGTGCCCTCACACTAAAGTCGTATCCGTCAAGCAGGAGCTGGCCTTCATCCGCTCCATAAGTCCTTCCTTTGGTTTGGAGTGCCATCTGCACTCGCCCCTATCGTCCGGTGAAGCTGTAAAGGCCAGCTGCGGCCAACAGCATTAGAGTAGTCCGAAAAAAAAAGTTGTGCTTTCATTAATAAATTAGTCCGCAAATACATGAAATATGGGATGAAATAGAATAGAATAGAAAATCATTTATTCAAATAAACTTAATTTAAGCACTTTTGAATAGTCATTACATTTTTTTTGTCTACCGCTCGTTCGGAAAGCTGTCTCATCACAAGAAGAACGAGCAAGAAAAAATTAAAAAAGGGTTGAAAAACGCCTTTTTTCGAAATAACTAGACAACGATAAGCAATATGAAAAAACATTTTAAATAAAAGTTGTAGAGAAATAAATTCTGCACAAAACAGCTCTTCTCTATTTTTTCATTAGCCGCTGTTGTTTGGCCACAAAAATTAAAAACTATAATAAAAACAATAGATCTATGAAGATCGCATTACTACAGGTCTAACGGTTGCCCAAAACCCTCATTTAAAAAAGGCCCTTAAGGTTTTATGAACTTTATCTTGTGATGAATCTGCATTCCGAATAAGCGGTAGAATCAAAAACTTGACTATTCAAAAGTGCTTATATTAAGTTTATTTGAATAAAGATTATTGCTATTCTATTTCTATTCTGTTCTATTCTGTTCTATCCTATCCTATCCTATTCTATTCTTTATGCATCGATCACAGATTTCACGAAACCTTAAAACGAATATTCCATATTTCAGTTCGTTGTACATCAGACCACCTCTGCCGCACCGATTGATACAGAACAAACTATCGGAGCCTGTGATAGTGAAGCCAGAACAGGAGATACAGAAAGAAGATAGCAGTCAGAAAGAAGAGAAAAGAGGATGCGTTGAGAAGATATCGAGGTAGTTTCAAAAATAACAGTATAGAATAAAAATAATTTTTATTCATTTCTGCTCATTAAAATATGCACAGCGGCTTTTGTATTGATTGCCGCATGCATGTAAAGTGCGAATACTGTAACTACCATATAGTAATTTTTGTAGCTGTGACGTGGTCATGTGGAATGAGTAGTCATGCTCACTAAAATGTCCAGACATGTGGCGGCGTGGTGGGCCGGGTCATTGGGCTCCCTAAAATATGGTCGAGCGCAGTGATGGCTGCCTCATTCGTCATACTCGTGAGCGAGTGCTGCTTATAGGGCCTGTCTGCTCTAATCACAATGACTGATTTAGTGTTGTATATTTAATATTTGACCCTAATAAATTAGTGCTAGTTGGTAGTTTGTATTCACACGTTTCGAATTAAAAATGTAAACTTACAAGGATTATTTAAAAGAGCAACACACAAGTTTCTTGCTCGTTCTTCTTGTGATGAGACAGCTTTCCGAATGAGCGGTAGACCCAGGACAATTAACACAGCGCCATCTAGGCCCACGGTAAGCAGAGCTTGTGATTACTAGACAACTGATGTAAATACTTATATATATATTTTTTATAAATACATAATGTACATAGAAAACACGCAGACCGATACAAACAATCATACTCATTAATACAAATGTTTGTACCGTGAGTGGAATCGAACCCGCGACCATCATAAGTAAAGCGTATGCTAAACTGTTAGACCACCGAGGCCGGTAGCTATATAGTTAAATAAAAATACATTTTTTATGTTTCAGATATTTGGACGTTTCGTTACTCAAGTCTTGGCGGTTTGGACTACTTTGCGCGTCAGTTGCCCTCATGTCATGCGGCTCGCCGTATGCTTTGTATTACTTGCCGGCTTACACTGTGGCTGTGGGACATAGCAAGTCTGCTGCGGGTGAGTTACAAACCGATATATTTACTAGTTCGTCTGTGATACCAAAGGATATATTGGAATTACCCTTAAATAAATTCAAAACATCTGTTAAATCATATTTACTGAGCAAGGCCTATTACTCACTAAACGATTACTTGAATGACGAGCGTGCATGGCAATAGTTGTTCATGCACGGGATTTTCATTTAATGTTAGACATAGACACCTATATAAATATACATTGTAAATAAACTGGCTTTAAAAAATAGTAATTCAATTGAGTTTCTTGCCAGTTCTTCTCAATAGGATCTATATCTGAAATGGACGGTAAGGAAAAATTATAATATTAAAAATTTTACGTTCATAAGCGGCGAGAAATGTCCTACATGAATCAATTATTTTTGAATTTTGTTTATTGTGAAAGTTTGGGGTAAAATTGAGAATAGATTAATATTGTTTGTTTTTAATATTTGTCTATGGTCTTTGACAATAAAACCTTGTTAAGATTCAAACTTATAATTAAACTTATGGTCGGATTTCTTCTATTTATTATTATTATATAGCGTCATTTCGTCTCACCACTCGAATCATCAACAATTAATGTTAAATTTCAATTTTTTAACTATTTTTTTTTATTTTAAGGTCATTTGGTGGCTATCAGTGCTGTACTGGATCTTTGCGGACGTCTGGGTCTAGGTTATCTGTGTGATCTGCATCTATTTTGCAGAAGAAAGGCGTATATTGTTAGGTAAGTAAACATTATAACTAACTCTGTGATTTCTCTGATCTTCTCTCTCTTAGCATGTATAATACAATAGTTTTTTTTTTTATTCAAATAAATTTACATTTAAGATTTTGAATAGTTGTTATTTATTATTATATTAATATATTTAAACGGGTTTTTTACATGAATAATTGTATAGTAATAGATCTAATCACTGTATCCGATCGATCCCCCGACAGATTCAAACGGGGATCGAAAGTACAACGCCTAGCCTGAGCCGAGGTTCGAACCTCAAGTGGTGCCCTCAGACTGGCGTCGTATAAATAAGGCCGGAGTTGTTCTTCAGCCGTTCCATAAGTCCTTTTGGTTTCCATAAATCCTTTTGGCCCTATAGGCCGGCTGGTAAACGAACGACTGCTGGGGTGGCACACCCCAGCAGTCATATGCTGCATACCCGGCGGTCCGCCCCGACCTACCTGATCCTTTTAGTTTGGAGTGCCATCTGCACTCGTCTCCTATCGTCCGGTGAAGCTGTAAAGGCCAGCTGCGGCCGACAGCATTAGAGTAGTCCGAAAAAAAAATTGACTGTCCGTTCCTATGTATGCTTAAATCTTTAAAACTTTTAAAACGGATTTTGAAGCGGTTTTTTTAATAGATAGAGTGATTCAAGAGGAAGGTTTATATCTATACATATAAATAAAATTGGAGTGTCTGTTTGTAATATTGAAATAACCGATTTTTACTATATGCATATCAATATAAATACGGTACATATACCAAAAACACACTTTTTACAATTTTTGTCTGTCTGTCTGTCGGTCTGTTTGTTCCGGTTAATCTCTGAAATGGCTGGACCGATTTTAACGGGTTTTTTTTTGGCAGGTAGCTGATGTAATAGGAACTAACTTAGGCTATTTTTATTTTAGAAAAAAATCTTTTATTTTAGACAATTAAAGTTAAATTCTACACGGACGAAGTCGCGGGAACAGCTAGTATATAATATATGTACAGCCGTGCGAAGCCGGGGCGAGTAGCTAGTAAAGAGAAAGATAGACTATCTTTATTTTAGTGTTATGTTACGTTAACAAACAGGTTACAATATTTATAGCCGATGATTGGTTACTGTTTTCAGTATACTGGTGGCCGGTATAGCTGTGCTCACCCTGCCCAGTCTGACATCCTGGTGGTCGCTCGCTATAGCATCAGGTAACTGATCCATCTCTATCTGGCTCATAATGACGACCTCGGTGGTCTAGCGGTCTAGCACACCGCTTTACGTCCGATGGTCGCGGGTTCGATTCCTCGCACGGCACAAATATTTGTATTCGTGAGTATAATTGTTTGTATCGGTCTGGGTGGTTTCTATATATAATATGTATGTATTTACGAAAAAAAAAATTATCTATGTATCTGTATCAGTTATCTAGTACCCATAACACAAGCTTTAGCTAGCTTAACTTGGGACTAGATGGCACTGTGTGAATTGTCCTGAGATTATTATTATTATTATTATATCCTTATAACAGGAGTTGTTGTGAGCCAATGAATTACAGGCTTTTTTTATGGATGATAATGTAATGGTGCACCCGCCTGCGCTAACGGTATATCTTACTATCGACTCACATAACCTTCATGGTGTATTTGTCACGATGTGCTAACTGACCTGACCTCATGCTCATCTTATCATCCTCCACTGGTGCCCCGCCAGCGTATACCGTTAGCGTAGGCAAATGCACCATTCTATTATCACCCATAAAAAAAATGTATAAATCTATACATATAATATATAAATACATATATATAAATCTTTACATATAAATACAATTTGAGTGTCTGTTTGTAATATTGAAATAACCGCTTCTTACTACATGCATATGAATATAAATATGGTACACACACCAAAATAACATTTATTGCAATTTTTGTCTGTCTGTTTGTTCCGGCTAATCTCTGAAATGGCTGGACCGATTTTGAAGGGACTTTTTTTAGCAGGTAGCTGATATAATTAGGAGTAACTTAGGCTACTTTTATTTTAGAAAAATACAGTTAAATTCCACGCAGACGAAGTCGGGGTTACAGCTAGTCTATTTTACAATTACAGGTGCTTACGGTCTGTGTCTGGGCTGCTGGTTTCTCTTGGTGCCTGTACTGCTGGCGGATGCATTTGGGACGGCTCGCATCGCATCGTCGTATGGACTCGTCAGAATGTTCCAGAGCATTGCTGCCGTCTCTGTACCACCAACAGCTGGTACGTATTTATTTGTTTAGTCATTTATTTGTTTAGTAATTCGTTTGTTTTGTCATTTATTTGTTTAGTCATTTATATGTTTATTATTTAATTGTTTAGTCATTTATTTGTTTAGTCATTTATTTGTTTAGTCATTTATATGTTTATTATTTATTTGTTTAGTAATTCGTTTGTTTTGTCATTTATTTGTTTAGTCATTTATATGTTTATTATTTAATTGTTTAGTCATTTATTTGTTTAGTAATTTCTTTGTTTAGTCATTTATTTGTTTATTATTTAATTGTTTAGTCATTTATTTGTTTAGTAATTTCTTTGTTTAGTCATTTATGTTTATTATTTAATTGTTTAGTCACTTATTTGTTTAGTAATTTCTTTGTTTAGTCATTTATTTGTTTAGTAAATTATTTGTTTAGTCATTTATCTGTATATTCATTTCGTATCGTCGTATGGACTCGTCAGAATGTTGCAGAGCATAGCTGCTGTCTCCGTACCACCAACAGCTGGTATTTCTTTGTTTATTTGTTTAATCATTTGTCTGTTCGTTTAGTGATTTATTCGTTTATTTTATAATTTTACTATATTACGTAATATATAAGTTATTTATTTGTTTAAATTAGTGAAATTACAAGATTAGTGAAACATACAACTTTGTATGGACAATCGTCATTTTTGAAGCTAAAACAATAAATATTATATCTGTGATTTTTTTGGGTTAGATTATTAAATAGATATGTTTCTTTATTTGGTTAAGTCCACTATAACAGTCGGTCGTAGTCACGGGCACAGCTAGTATTCAATGTAAACTTAAACCGCTAGACGACCGAGTTAAATATGTTTTACAAAATTTCAGGGCTTGTACGTGACGTCACCGGGGGATATTCATGGTGTTTCTACGGTATGGGATCCTGTATGGTGTTAGGTTCGATTCCAGTTATTGCATTTCACATGTGCACCAAGAATGAAGACACCGACTCGTCTGTGGATTGAACGATCTAAGATATATCAATATAACAACTTATGTTACAGTTAATTACGAATGTAATTTTACACTCGTTAATTACAGGATGACATGTTACATTCGTATAATACGGCAGGAATATTGTTTAATATTACAATTATAAATTATGACATGTAAGTTACAGTTGATAATTTTGTAATGTTACAAATTCTTTTGGCTGTAATATTGTAGTCATTATTTACAATGTGTAATATTACAATTGTAATTATTAATTGCACCACGCAATGGTACTACAGTGTTTGTTTTAGTATTCACATGAATAAATGTGTATTTAAAAAAAAATGAGTGTGAATTTTGAAAAATATCACTATTGCGTAGTTACGTGTTAAAAAATTGTCTATGTGTAACGGAAAAAGCTTTTATACATTTGGTAGATTGTGTATAAACAATCAAAACTACGTATGTATTTCTATAAACAAGACCATTATGTGTACTCTATTTATCTATGGTTAGAATTTAAAAAAATTACACTATCATTGGAAATTACAAGTTTGTATTTGTAAATGGAACAAGCGTGCCATATGTCGGAGTCAGAAGAAAAAAAGCGTGCCACATTTTTAAATAAAGAACAGCCTAAATAAACAATGGCAAATGTCAGTCGATTTGGCGCCAAAAAACTAAAAGCTGCGTTCCTACGTGCGGAAATTGGTGGCTATAGAAATTGAAAGGTTAAGATGTTTCAGATATTAATAGACTAGGAATATGATAATGTGAATCCAAGTTAACCTTTTTTTTTATTCATTTACGATGACTAAATAAAAAAAAAATCTTACAATAGAGTGAAAAAAAAACATAGGTTTCGTTTTGGTAAAAATATATGCACTTAAAATTACTGTCCAACCTTCTTATAGTTACATATAAATTAAAAATGAATGTTAATAAAATTCGTAATAATATTTTTTTTTATTTAATTAAATTGTGTAGGACTGTGATTAAATATTTTGTACAATATTTCGTTAGTAATACTAGAGTACTGAAATGTTTTAGTTGACAAATTTCAGTTTAAACGATAGGAAAATATTCCCTACTATTTAATATTAATAGCGAAGTTAAAACCATTGACAAGTAGAGTAGCTAACACGCACAACATCTAGCGTATTAGTATGGCCGTAGATGTATTCTAAAAAAATAGCTTCATTGTAGCTTTCCCAATACATCATTGTGAGGTGCCATGATTTAAAAAATAATCCAGATTTAAGATTCGAATTTCAAATGTTTTTGTTTCAAAAATTTTGTGCTTATTTTCGCATGTAAACTGCCATAAAGTGCCTCCTGGCATATATATTATACATTTTATTTTATAAATATATATTTGTAAACGAAATTATATATAAATAGTAAACCATGATTTCATAAACACGACTGGGAATACTTTTTAATATAAGATAGAAAAAAATACAGAAAGGCTATCGACAAACTGTATTAAAAATGTGCTGGAATTAATTATTCCAAGATATTCAACCTATTTTGTTTTTGTATTTTATCGTGTCCTTTTGAATGGTGATTTTATTAATATATATATTACTTTAACTGTTATTTTTATATCGTACTAATTATCAGTTGTTTGTTTTTTTTTTAAAGAGGCGACGAAGTATATTCTGTTCTGATATGATTTATATGTGAAGTTATTTAGAGATTTAGTATTGTATGAATACTGTGTTCACAAATGCATTAATGGCTTTCATTTATCATGAATAACACTGCCATATGATGTTGAATATAAAATACAGAGAATAGTGTTAGATTGTAACAAATATACACAATGTTAATTATACTTGGCGTATTTAGTAAACGATGTTGGCATTTACTCGATTAAATACGGTATAATCGAACACTATGCATGGAATGAATCGATAATTTTTTTTTATTTAAGGATGTATAATATTGTGTACCGTGTCTGAGCTAATGGTTTACGCTGGCGGGGCACCAGTGGAGGATGATAGAATGAGCATGAAATTGTCAGTTAGGTCATCGTGATGAATATGGTTGAGCTCTGTGTTTAATATGCTTACAAAAATATACATGTTATTCTGGAGACGTCTTAGGTGCTTTAGCATTCTACCTTACCTTCGATATCGCAGATTCAAATACTTATGTGATATAAATTTTGGTATTGTTACTGGTCTGAGGATTATCTATGTATATTATGTATCTATTTAAAAAAAATACCAATCTGCGGTATTACCTAATGCCCAATTTACACTCGGCCCGAGTGGGCAGGGAAGTGAGCAGCGCGCGTGTAGACACGAGTGGAAACACTTCCCATGCCATTGGCGCTGCCCGGCGCTCCCTCGATTGTCGGTTTTTCGTGCGCGAGTCAAAGGACTGGCAGCGTGTTTTTATATTCACGCCTTTCGCTCGGTTGTCGCCCGGCAATATTTCCGGCAGCGCGAGTAGCAGGGGAAGCGGCTGAATGTAAACGTAGCATAATACTCACACCACATTCTGTGCTTGGTTTCGAGCTAGATGGCGCTGTGGGAATTGTCATGGATGTCGTTTCTATAAATGTTAATTTTATGTACTATTGCTCTCTCAAACCATGACTTAGGTAAAATCACCGATCGAAATTGGTGGCGGCCATTTAAAATAAAAAAGAAGTACTTGCTTCAAGAGAGTCATTATAACATTTCTTACTAAATATGTCGAGTATAAAAAAATCCGATTATACGTAGTTATTAGTCTATACCTATAGAGTAAGTTATTCATTACTATTCATATACAATGTTACATACATTTTGCCAGACTATTACTTTTTTTTGGTGCAATCATTAAGAATTTGCGGCCATAAGTAATAATTTTAAAAAAGAAATTTCGTTTTTTTATTTTTTGGTGGAAACATTGTAAAGAATTTGGCGCCATGAGTAATAATTTAAAAAAAGGAATTTCCTTTCAATATTTTTTATCTTGGTGGAATCATTGTAAAGAATTTGGCGCCATAAGTATAAATTTTAAAAAAGAAATTTCCTTTCAATATTTTTTTTTTGGTGGAAATATTGTAAAGATTTTGGCGTCATGAGTAATAATTTAAAAAAATAAATTTCCTTTCAATATTTTTTTTTTGGTGGAAATATTGTAAAGATTTTGGCGCCATAAGTAATAATTTTAAAAAAGAAATTTTCTTTCAATATTTTTTTTTGGTGGAAATATTGTAAAGAATTTGGCGCCATGAGTAATTTTCAATAATATTTAAAAAAGGAATTTCCTTTCAATTGTTTACAGCAAGTGTTGTATATTACACAAATGTTTTAGCATTAAAATGTATCTAAGATTTTAATGTCAATTTTTTTTTATTATTTGCATCAAGTAGAAGATTATGGATGTTCCATTTTCAAATTTTGGCGCGAAAGTTTTTTTAATTCTTTTGGCACCACATTGTAGAGTATATGAATGTTTGTTGTATTATTAAGAGCCAGTCTAGGCTACTATTAAATCTCTAAGGTCATGACTGTTATGGCATCTCAGTATATGATAACTAAATAAAAATTACATGACATTAACTTGTATACAATAAAATTATACAATGTACTTTAATTATAACATGTATATATATACATTAGACACACATTAAGCGTTTAGTGACTATGTATATGTATATACTTATGTAAATTATGTCGCTATTACTGACTTTGTAGATAACTTACACTAGATAGATAGATAGATAGATAAAAATTTTATTTACGTTAAAGGCACACACACACACAAAATACACTGTAATAATAAGAACAAAAATAAAACAGATATACACATTACATTAGTGAAGTCAAACAAAATACAATACACAACAATTATACAGATAAAATAAAATGCAATACAGATAACAAAAAACGGTATGAGTAACGTAGTGTGTGTGCATAGCCCATACGTAAAATGGCAGCACCTCAGTTTATTGTTTGCAGCATCAGCGTACAAGCAGCAAACCACTGATATTCAGGCACTGCCCAGAGACATACGCGAGGACGCGTGTAACAAGACCACAGCTTGTAATCAGCCCTATTACATTATCATAAATATTAATATATTAAAAAAGAAAAAAAAAAAAACTATATTAAAACAAGAAATAGGTATAACATATAGGCATAAAATATATAGGAAATTATTATCAATTCATATAATAAAATAAATATGAAAAACAAAAGAGAAAATAGAATTATTGCATAAGAGTGTGAAGTGTTTAAAAGGAGTGTTGAGTGTTGAGTGTTGAGTGTTGAGTGTTGAGTGTTGAGTGTTACCACTATCAAGCAACCAAAACCACTAATCAAATATTGGGGAAAATGAAGAAATATATGTACATTATATGTATAACGGTTACAAAGACAAATCAACTTGACTTTTGTTCCTCCAACAACAAATCTTTTAATTTTTGCTTGAAAGTAAGTTTCGAGGGAATACTTCTAATTGGAGGGGGTATATTATTCCAACATTTGGTCGCTTGATAGCGGAAACATCCTCTAAACGCCATTGTTTTATGTGAGTGCGCTGCCAATGGTGGCCTCAGAGTCCTAGGTGTACCATCTCCATATTGGTCGTGGAACGTGCGAAACCTTAGCTTTTGGTAAAGATACTCTGGGCTTTTCAGCTTTGTAAGGTTGAACATAAGCATTGCAAGGTGTAATTTTCGACGTGATTCCATATTTAGCATTGAAGCCCTATTTATGAACGGAGATACATGTGTACGCGGAGGAATATCAAAACAGAATCTACAGCATGCATTCTGTACACGTTGAATCATTCGACGAGTTTTGTAAAGTAATCGAGGTCCGTACACCAAATCTCCATAATTTAGCCTAGACAAAATTAATGATTCGCATAGAGTGATGCGCGTTTTTTCATTTACACAATTTCTTATTTTATATAAAACTTTCAATTTATAAAAACAGTTCTTTACAAGATTCCGGATATGGCTCTCAAAACGGAGTTGGCAATCAAAAACAATACCCAGATTCCTGGCTTCACTAACCTCCTGTAAACAAGTATTTAAAATTTTTACAACGGGGTCGCTATTTTTGATCATTTCAATCTGTTTTTTACTACCAAGAATCATAAATTTAGACTTGGACGGATTAAGTTTGAGACAATTATTAGAAGACCAATCAGCTATTCTACCCAAATCCTCATTAAGGGCCTTCAATGTTTCTCTAATTTTTGTTGGCTTTAACGAGATATAAAGTTGTATATCGTCAGCGTAACAGTGATATTTGCAATGTTCAATAACGTTAGGTAGATCTGCACAATATATATTAAAGAGAAGAGGACCCAATATGGATCCTTGGGGAACTCCACGCTTTACTGGTTTCGGAGTGGATACCGAGTATGAGCCATCATGTCTACGTAGTTTTACGGATTGCCATCTGTTGCTCAAGTAACTTGTAAACCATTTGATTGCATGTGCATCGAATCCATAATAGGACAACTTGGAAAGAAGCAACCAGATATCAAGACTGTCAAATGCACGAGTGAAGTCGAGAAGAACAAGTACTGAACCACGTCCAACATCTTGTTCTGCAAGTATATCGTCTGTCACGTCTAGCAGCGCTGTAACAGTACCACGGCCCCTGCGGAATCCTGATTGATGTGACGGTAGTATATTAGTAGCAGTAACATAATGTACAACCTGATTATATACAGCCCTTTCCAGAATTTTTGAGAGAAATGGTAAAATACTTATGGGTCTGAGATCGTTATAATCATTGGGATGTTCAATTTTGGGCAATGGAGTGATTAGTGCCCTTTTCCATTGGGAAGGAAACAAGCCAGTAGTGAGTGACTCATTTACCATATCTGTGACAATAGACAAAGTTTGTGGAAGTGTAAGCAGTACCATATCACGGCTAATACAGTCACTTCCGATAGCATTGGACTTTATTGATAGTATGTAACGAGCAACATCACTTTCAGTGACTGGTTGTAATTTAAACTGGGGTTTTTGTGTGTCAAATTTGTGATATTCAAAAAATGTTAATTGAGATAAAGATACTGTATCTGACCCAGCTTGTGTTAAGAAGTGATCATTAATAATATCGGGGTCACTAAGGAAGTCTGGCAGACATTTTGCTTTACTAGGATCCACTAATATTTTTTCTTTAATATTCTTCCAAAATACCTTACTATTGTCAGCATTAGAATTGATAAAGTAATTAAAATAAGCACACTTTTCATTTTTAATACTATTGATTACCATTTTCTTAAGGTCTTTATAATATTGCTTTTGCACATCAGACCCAGAACGTCGATAAGTGTCATAAGCCCTATTACGTAATTCTATCATACTTCTGATTGTGTCCGTTATCCAAGGAAGAGACTGATCTTGCTTCACTGTCATAGATACTATTGGGGCATGCCTATCAAAAAGAGTCATAAGGAAGGAACTATATTTATCCACCATACAATCTATATTAGGCAAAATCTGAAGTACTCTCCAATTTAAGGCCATAAGATCCTGACTGAACCCTCTCAAATTTATCCTCTTGATAGCTCTATATTCAAAGGTACTTGGTGTTGTTTTGAGTTTTTTTAATGTTACATTAACATTTATCATGGCATGGCCGAGTGATCCA